CTCATAGAGGTGAACTGAGGCACCCCAGCAAACAGCCTGCCAACTGCCAGACACATGAGGGAGGCCCTCCAAAACCACTCAGCCCCCAGTTGTAGTCCACTGACTGCAACTACAAGAGTGAGCCTAGGTAAGCCCAGAAGAACTGCCCAGCTGAGCCCAGAACGCCAAATCATAGAATAATTGTTCTCTTAGGCCACTGGGTTTAGGGTGTTTTGTTAAGCAGCAAAGACGAACTGAAACACGTACCTTGCAAATACACACTGTGCAGACAAGACCTGTACACATATGCATATGCACATAAACGTACGCAAATGGCCTTCCGTTGAAAATCTGTCAGCACCCACAAAGACTCACACGCCCTTACAGGTCACATCCGCACACCAGCCATCACCCAACCCCACACATCTCTATTCGGATCACTCTCCTGGCTGCTTACATGGCAATAAAAAGCTAACGTGGAAATGGGCGAGTCGACATTGCCCAAGCTACATGTCCCCAGCACTGGCCAGCACAGCGCCAAGCATGGAGAAGGGCCAGGCAGACTTGGTCGAATGAACTCATGAGTAAAGCAAGGGGTAGAGAATGGGCCACAGGATGGCACCAGTGAGGGGCAGTACTGAGGGGTTCCCATGGGTACCAGCGAGGCCTGGCAGCAGGGGCCACAGCTTCCGTTTGCATCCCTCTGAGAGACCCACATGGGCAGGGGCATGCAGTGGTGCTCACAAATGCTTGTCTTACAAATTGTCCTCCTGCTTGAGATTCTATTTTTAAAATTGGTTCCACTGTTTTTATTAAAAGTGGAGGTTGTTGCCCTGGCCAGTTTGGCTCAGTGGTTAAAGCATCGACATATGGACTGAAGAGTCCCAGGTTCGATTCCAGCCAAGGGCACGTACCTCTGTTGCAGGCTTGATCCCCAGCCCCGGCCGGGGCAAGTGTGGGAGGCAACCAGTTGATGTGTCTCTCTCACATTGATGTTTCTCTCTCTCTCTCCCTCCCCTTTCCACTCGCTCTGAAAAGCAATGGAAACAATATCATCTGGTGAGGATTTAAAAAAAAAAAAAAAAGTGGAGGTTGTTAAAAAGCATTTGAAGGGTTACAGGAAAGAAACTGGAACCAATAAATTATCTTCCATGTGTAACTATGAAGAAATCGAGGATTTCTGAGAATTAAGGATGAGTTAAAAGGGCACTAAGGGAATAAAAAGCTAAGCAGGTAGTAACTCCAGAAAAAAAAACAAGTTTCACAGGAAAGGAAATGTAACCATAATATGTGATTTGGCTTGGCAGGGAACAATTCTTATATAATTATAATATAAATAACACTAAGTATCACTTAATGGAAAATTGTGACAAATGTAGGTTGAAAGGAGAGGAAGGTGAGAACAGTTAAATCTTCCTTGACAGTAATAATGATGAAAAGAAACAATTTTGACCACTCACTGGGTAATGTGCATTATTCTAGGCACATTCTATGTGAATCCTCACAGCAATCCAGCATCTTATACATTCGGATTACTCTCATTTTACAAGTGAGGAAACTGAGGTACTAGAAGGTTAAGTCACTTGCCCAAAGTCATATGGCCAGTCAGGGGAAGGGCTGGGGATTCAACCCAGGCAGTCAGGCTGCAGAAGCCATATATAAACACATCAGATCAGAAAGTAGGTCAATATTTGCCTAAAATTAAAAAGCAACAACAAAAGCAGCAGGAAAAGCACATTACTTAGAAATATGAAGAAAAGTACCAGAAGAAATTGTTAAAAGAATTGAATGTGATTGCTTGGAGGAGCTGAGCTGGGAGTGAGAAGGACAGGGCAAGAGAATGTTTTTTTATTAGTACTATTTAATTTATATAGATATGTAGGTATACCCATGAGGTGTGGACAGGAGTTGGCAGGGAAGAAACACCAGGGAGCTGTCCACATTGATAGTGTTGCTCTGTATCCTGATTGGGGGATGGGGTACAGTATGTTTTTGTCTGAACTCAGCAAAGGGTACCTTTAAGATCTGTGCATTTCACTGTGTGTAAATTGTACCTCCCAGAAAAAGATAAAAGAACTAAACAAATACTATTGAACTATAATTAATGATACACACGCTAAAGGGACTTTAAGGGGAAGCATACTAATGTTTGCAACTCTGAAAAGCTTCAAAAAGATAAGCTGTCTTAATAGATGGGTAAGGGATAGATGCCTGATAGAGCAAATCTAGCAAATAATAAGAATTGAGCACCTAGTAGGCAGACACATGTGTTCACTGTATAATCCTTGCAAATTTTAAGTTTGAAATTTTTCTCAATAAAGTGTTAGAGGAAATATATGAATGTTATCTGAAAAATAATATTAAACTTTTAAAAACCTGACTGGGGCATTCTGTCTTGGGCCTGGATGGACCACACAACTCTAAGCCCTCCCGTATGCATGTCTATCTGGCAGGGACAGCTGTTACCATGATCTCACCCATGTCCCCATCTTACCCTGGGTTCCTATAGCCTAAGTCTTCAGTCCCTCCGTGCTCCCCCCAGTGTCAGGCAGGATGAGGGTCTTCTTTCCCTGATCTCCTTGAATGCCTCAGTAGCAGAACCAGGACCGTTTCACCAGGGACAGTCACAAGGCCCTCTAGCTACACCCCATCCTCTGCCAGGAGGGTAGAGTGAAGTCTTCTGGCAGGTGGGGTTGGATGCCTTTCCCAGGGGCCCATTACACCTTCACGACAGAAGTGAGCAGCCAGGTTGCCAGTCTCCCAAGCCCACGTGTATATAATTAGGCGGTGGGAAATAGATCAGGGGGCAGATCTCATCCCTGACTAATTAGGGGCTAGGCAGCTGGGGCCAGTCTGGCCTGGGGAGCTACGACGGGGGCCAGGCAGCCCCGGGGGACCAGGCAGCAGCTGCAGGCCCTCAGAGGGGCTCAAAGGCAGCGGCTGCTACTCATCGCCCCCCACACTCCAACTGGAGGCAGAACAATAGAGGGGCTGTCTCCACAGTCCCCGAGGCGGGCCAGGCTGGCAAGGCTGGAGGGCTGGCTGGGGAAATGGCCGAAGCCCCAGCTGCGGCCTCCACAGATGCCCACATGGAAGGGTAGTCGTCTCCAAGCTCCTGGCAGAGAGGAAGCCCTCCGGAACTAGGAAGCCTCTGTTGCATGAGTCAAAGCTCAGGCTGGCCCCTTCCCCACTCTTAAGAATCCCTTCCCGCTCCTTCCCAACAGACCCTCCCAATGCCCTACTCAGCTCCCCCGGGCCCAGCTCCTGGGAACAGCTCTGGTCATTAGGCAGAAGTCCCTAAAGATCCCTGCTCCACAATATACGACTATGTGCTTACTGTTTAGCTGCCTGTCCCCTCCCCATCCCAAGACCAGGGCCCAGCAGTGTCTTACCCACTGCTGGGCATCCAGTAGGTACTCAATAAAGTGACCAGGAGGAAAAGCTGCCAGGATGGGGAAGAGGTGAGGCATGTGTCAAAAGAATCACGGAGCCAGAGTACCACTGAATGTGGGGTATCCGCAGGCCAGAGGGCCGACCTGCTCTGGGGCAGCCCACAAGCTACTACCTCTCCTGCTCTAAGACGAGATGACCTTCGAAGGCGACCCTCAAAAAGTCATCTTGAGGATTTAGTGACAGGATGAGTGTAAAGGGTCTGAGCCCAGCACTTAAGCCTCCTCCAGGAACAAGGGGCCTCCCAGCCTCAATTTTGGCTCATTTCTTAAAATGAGCCAAAACACCCACCTTCTTGTGTTTCTGGGGGCAGGCAGGTCACAGCAAGGGCAACACTTAGCACAAAATTCTGACCAGGTTGCCCAGAGGGGCTGGTCTTTGACACCTCAAAGGATACCATCTCTGCAGAGCCTGCCCAGATTATCCACCTGCCCTCATCACTCTTTTAACATAGGGACCAGGAGGCCCAGCTCCTACATTATCAAACCTGCTGGGTACCTGTGGGCAGCTCATCACCTTCCCTGTGTCTCGGCTCTTCATCTGTATCATGAAGGGATTAACTCCATTCTCATGGGCTCTAACAGCATCCTCTTCTTATAACCCAATTTCCCCTGTTTCCCTGAACTGCTGAGCCTAGCCCAATCCCCCAGGGGCTGGTTTAGACTATCAGACAGACAGACAGACAGCTGGACTGACCTGGATGTTTCCCAACGGAAATCTCCTCTTTATGCTTAAAATAAAACCTACATCAAACCTGTCACTAGGGCCCCCATTAGAGCTTCCTGTTTCTGAGTGCTGCAGCCAAGGCAGCCTGCGTGAAAGGAAGCACCACCCAGCCCCTCCCCTCTCCCACCCAAGGGCAGGCAGAAGCCACCCAGGCTTTCATCCTTTGTGTCCCTAGCTCTAGCACTGGCTACTCCACCAGCCAAGGTGAGGTCTCCTAACAGGTAACTAACCTGGAGAGAGACAGAAAGGAACTGAGACCTCAAAGCCCAGTGCCAGCCACTTCCTTCCCCTTCCCCCAACTCAAAGAAGACTGTGCTGTCCAACTCTTCCACTGAGGACCAGAGGGAGATTGACTTGTCCAGGGTCACCCAGAGTTGGAGGTAAGTCCACTCATTTTGTGCTGTCCAGCCAAGTCCCTCTTCCTCCAAGAACTCCCACTTCCAACCTCCAAGTCTATGGCCTATGGGACTTCAAGTTCAGAGTTTGCCCTCTCTGAGTTTCCTGCCCCCTTGGGGACTGGGAAGGAGGTGGGGAAGTCAGAACACTCATGGTCGGGAGGGTCCATGACCATGTCAGCCTTCTCCCTGCAGTTCCCCTTCCTGGTCTGGGGGAAAGGCCCAGTCCCAGTCCCAGCTCTATCCCGACTCACTCAGTGCCCAGGCCCAGTTTCTTCTTTTATGAAGAAAATGCAACAGCCTCCCTGAGGATCCCTCACACCAGGCCAACCACTGACCTCATGCGCCACTGGGTCCTGGGGTAAACTATTACTAGGTTTAGAAGGCCCCACCCCAAGACTTCTCCCACCCCTTCCCCTTGCAAACACAGAAGAGTCTGATGACCCAATCTTTGAAAAGCAAGCATTTGTGTTTATTAACCAAAGGGAGGGAAGCCAGAGCAATGTAGACTCCTACCAGTCCCTCCTGTAGTCTACCCACCTAGGCCAGGCTGCCAAGGCCTGGAATAACAGTGGCTAGACCACTCTTCCCTGCCCCACCCTAGGGTGAGTTCCCAGGGAACCAGGGCCCACTGAGTAAGGAAGAGAAAGTCAGCAAAGGACAGAGGCCAAGGAAGGAAGGAACAGAGCCACTGGGTAGGCAGGCCTGGTAGAGATCCTTGGTCCCTCACTCTCAGGGCGGAGGGCTAAGTGCCCCAAACCGGGAGAGGAACCAAGCGGAGGTACACTCTGTCAAAGCCCCTCCATGTGAGGAATAGGGAGTGGTCCAAGGTCAAGAGGCCACTCTCTCAGGGGTCAGTCCTTGCCAGATGGGTGCTGGCCGGCCTCTGAGCCTTTGCCCCCATACCAAGTTCCCAAAAGGCGGCACTCTCTGGTCTGCCGCAAGCCAGGGAAAGGGTGCAGGAGAGGTCACGGAGACAATTCCCTCTCCAAGCGCTGTCCTGTGCCGAACGCCAGGCCCAGCAGAGGCCTACCCCTCGGCTGCCGGAGCCTCCCGCGCTTGCCGCAGCCCGTACAGCCACTTGATGACGCGGGCGTTGCGCTCGATCACCGACACGCCGTAGGGCACGCGCTCCCGCGCCCGCTCCTCCACGGTGGCGGAGCTGCGGCGCGAGCAGCCCCCCTCGGAGCTGCCCGGCCCGGCGCTGGGCCCGGCCAGAGACACTATGTCTGAGCTGGCCCGTGCCAGGTGAGCCACACCCAGCCCCCGTGCCTCCTCTGGGTCCAGGCCGCAGAAGTTAAAAAATCGCTCCAGGTCGGCCGCCGCCCGGGAGAAGCGCTCACTCAGGTCCGACTTGGAGCGCTGCACGCCCGGGGGCCGGGCCGGGCTGGAGGCGGCAGTGTCCGGG